AATCACACAAATCCTGAGGATCGCTTCTATTACCCAGAATTCTTCTCAACTTTCTTGCTAATCTGAAGAGCAAACGACGACAAAAGCAACAGCTTCAAATGTTGCTGAACAAGAACTTAAGACATTTGCGAATGACATGACTGTAAAGCTAGCAAACCTAAGAATAACCAAAGAAATAAGATACTAATGTATCATCAGGACCATGGCTGGATGTGACGAATGCACAAACCTCAACAGCTGTGATTTCTCCTCGTTATAAATGTTATTCGGGGACACGTCCTCATTCACAGCAAAGTATCTCAGGTCTGGAAAGAACCTTAACAGAAACGCACCAGTTTCACGTGCAGAATGTCACATGGTCTGAGATTCCAGGGCTGAAAATGACATTACTGTCTGAACTACTCGGGTGAGGGAGCGTCCATACAGCAGAGCACCAGAGACTGACGAGAACGATTGAGCTTTTAAACAGTAAACCTTTATTAAGCCCCTCGATCAGTATAATTAACACAGAGACTGATGACAATCTACTACGTTATAAGGAATTGGAGGGCAGAGCGACAAGATGAAACGGGCTTTCTTCCTATGTCAATCACCTGTTCGGTGCGTGCGGGAAGGCAGTAAGCTTGCGTCGAACCTTGAGTTAACCCAAACTGTGCCCGGGGGGCCGCCGCGGAGCAAGAGCAGGACCAGCAGAAGTGACAGCCCAGCGACCATCCCTGATGCGCAGACACGCGGCCTCTGGCCAGGTGTGCCTTCCAGAACACAGGGCCCGGGTCGGTCAGGATTGGCTCAGACTTCCGACTTTCCCTGAGATCCAAAATATGTGTTGCTTTATGGTTTCAAGCAATTATTTGGTCAGAAAAAGGGGCCAAAGTTCATTCAATAATAAAATTTCTCTGCAAAAACGTTCAATTTTTTTTTTTTTTTTTTATGTAAGAAGGATGCACAGTTGCATCAGAAAAAGTTTTCTGGGTATTTCTAAACACCTAAGAGACTAATAGTTTTTACATGAAAACCCGTGAGGGAGGGAGCCCTGCTCGGCAGGCGAGCCAGGAGGAGGGTGGGGAAGCTGCGGGCTGAGGGCCTGGGGACCTGGAGGACTAGAGGGACAAAGGATGAGCTGACAGCCCAGCTCTGGAGGACTCCTGCCACCTAGGACCACCAGCGGCTCGGACGTGAACGAACAAAGCCTCTTCATTTCCACGTCTCTTTCAGATTCGACTTCTGCAAACGTGGCAGTGCTGTCCCGGGAGAGGAACGTCATTAGATTTTCGCAGAGGGCCGAGAGATGCGACATCCCTCTAACTGGAGTTGGCTTCTCAATATCTCACAAGAGTAGTGAATTTTATTACTGCCATTTATCTCAGCGGATCCTTCCAGTGCTTCTAGAGTAAGAAATTCTGTTTCAAGATATCGTTTTGCAATACCAAGGTACTTCAAAGAAAAAGTGCTTTTAAAAATCCTACTTCTACCTAGAAGAAAAAGAAGAAAAGGCATCTCAGGCCAGAGAATACTGATGGCTCATAGGGTGCCATCCGAGGCTGGGGGCAGGGAGGGGGGAGGTTGCCCCCCTGTACCTGTACGCTCTCCCACCGTGGGGCCTTCACAAAGTCTCTTTTGTGGGGGACAAGCAGCCTGCTCCTTACAAATGCCCCAGCGCCCGGCCCGGCCAGCACAGTCACCTGATGAGCCAGGCTGGAGCAGCGGCCAGGAGCCTTCGGTGCGGGCCTCACCCAGCCTCCCTAGGGAGCTTCCTCTCTATCCCACGCTCCCTGCCAGCACAGCACCCAGCGGGGAGAGCCCACGACCTTCCCTGAGTCTGTGACTATACCGTGGGTACCCCAGCAGGATGGGAGGGACCTTGAAGACTGATCACGCCGCATTTCAGTTAGTTTGTTATTATGTAGCTTACAAATGTACCAAGAAAATCATTCTTAAAGCGAATCTTGAAAAAGACAAAAATTACAGAGAAGCAATTCAATTCAATAATCCCTAGAGAAACAGCATCGAAAAGCTCAAGTCAAAGATAATTCCATTGACAATGGACTTATAACAAAAACGGAATCATAATTTTTCGGAACTTCGGATAATCTTCAAATTTCTCAAGGTACCACCTAAAATAAGAAAAAAGGACTTTAGAAAAGGAACTAATTTTGTCACTTAAACATTTAATAAATGCTAACAAAAGGGGCAATATTTTTTATTACAAAGGCAGAGTTTTTAAAAGTATTAATAAAAACTTGGGCATTTCAGATACACAGTTTGGTTTTGTCTATACCGCAAATAATTAAATATATCTGATTACAAAGCGTGATTTGCAAGAAGTGACCCATATAATTCACCTTTATACTGGCAAGGGAAATCACTGACGTGTGATCAAGATGCTGACCAGTGTTCGAGAAGGCTCCCTTCTAGACCCCGGAAGCATGCAGACTGGGGGACAGGGGGAGCTGAGTGTCTGCCGGTGGCTCGGATTGCTTTGTCCAGTCCCCAGGAGAGAACAACTGCCCCAGACACGGGGTCTGCAGAAACGACACCCACCCTGGTGACTCAAACAGCCACGGGAAGATGCCACATGGGCTTGTTTCAGAGCACGCGGAGCAAACAGGTGTCTTCTGTTTTGATATAAATTATCTCACCGAAAGCATGCTCATTCGTTTTTGGGGTACCGGCTAGTTGGGAAGGGTTTGGAAACTAAGTGGATGGGGTAAATATTTCAAATAATTTGACAAGATGAAGAAATCGGCGGAAAAAAAGAAGTTTCCATAAGCACGGAAGAATGCTCGAGAGACTAAAACTCGTGATGGAAAACGACTCGCTATTTGTTAATATGGTAAACGTCTAGGACGGCGGCACACCGGAAGCGACTCGGCGAAGTCCTGTCGATTTCAGATTTTAGAGAAGTTTAGCGCTGAAACCCACAAACACAGCAGCATAACAGACGATATCGACGTTT